ATGCAGAACCGTCTGGGCCGGAACCATCTCAGAATCTAGCAGGTTCTGGAGGGAGGGAAGCCAGAAACAGGACATGATCGGCTTCGTAAAGGAATGAATCAGAACCTCGCTTCTTCTGCAGGAGGATTTCCGCATTGAAAGAGCAGACCGAGCGCCGGGACCGAGGCCCGCTGACACCAACCCGCCTCGCTCCATTGGCCGCTTCATGGATTACACCAGAAAAGAAGCGCTGCTGCAACGGGCCGGGTCACTAAAACACATCGTTCTCCAAGGGAAAACAATATACTTTGACTAGGACTTCTCTCCAGAGCTCCAAAAGAAGAGAGTGAGACTGTGGAGCTTCATCAAGCAACTTAAAGGAAAACAAGGTAAATGTGGTTTTCCGGCGCAACTCAGAATGGACTTGGAAACGAAAAGCTTCCCTCCTCTTGTGGACGCGGTACCGACGTTGGAGAGGTTGGACGTCTCAGTGCAGATGAGTGAGAGAGAGAGGATGGAAGCGGAGCCTCCAGAGAGGCCTGGACTCCGAGAGTCAACAACAGGAGACATGGAAAAGGGGGACAACCTGATGCACATCTAAAAGTTTACATTGAAGACTGAGGAGAACAAAATGTTCAAAACAGAGGAACTCTGGAGGATATAAGGGATGTTTTAGCAACAATTATTAGGGGAGAAGAAGACGTTATGGAAACAGCCAACGTTACATAGTTATATAGTGAATCTGTATTTCAAATGTTTCTGATCTCACGGGTCGCCAATATCACCTGGTTACTATCGTTCTCCCAATTGGGTGGAGATCTCAGCAGGGAATTATTGCTGTTCTTTGTGATCTGGAAGCACTTAGTGCTTTTTCCCCAGAGCGACTACAGGCACACGGCGCTCTGCCTTGGTTACATCGGGGGCTGGTCAGGAGGCCACCACAGATTATATGTGGTTAATAGAACCAGGCGGGTTGATGGGAGTCCTTGGGGCTTCATGTGTTCAAACTATTTCTGTGTTACTATGTTCTTGTTCCTTGACATGTTTGTGGCCACACTGAGTGACCAACAGGAGGCAGAAACACATCAGATGCAACATCCAGAATTAAGGTCAAAGGGTCAAAAAGTAGAGGTCGAGGTCGACATGATTAAAACAACTATATATTATGAGTGATTTAAATATTGTGTGTTATCATGTGAGAGGACTGGGTCATCCGATAAAGAGGACGAAAATATTAGCTGAATTAAAATGGCTTAAAAGTTCAATATCTCTATTGCAAGAGACTCATCTTAACGACTTGGAGCAGCAGAAATTAAAAAGAGAGTCGGTGGATCAAGGGTTTTTAGCCAGCTGTCCAAAAAGCAGAGGGAGGGGCAATTTTATTATAGAAATAGTTCAAATTACTGTTAATGGCAAGAATACAAAGTGTAGACTGAGAAAAGTTCAGATAGAAAAACAAACTTTTCAAAGTTTCACTCTTTTCTACATAAATCATCCAAATCAAAGCAGCAAATATTTCCTGTTTATTTTTCTAAAACATCTTCAAGGATTTCCAGTTAAGTTTGTAGAGAAACTAAAAAAACATCATAAATCTCATTTTATTTGTTTAGCAAATATTTTAAAGAGAGAAAAACACTTTTATCTCCTCACTAAATTATTGCAAACTAGAAATCCCTCTAACTGAACTACAATTGTTTTAATATTCATCCTAAATAAATCATTTATTAGTTTATAGTTTATTTCATTTCTAACAATGTTTCTTTACACCATAAAAGTTTATTATAGACTTTGTAAATAATCAATGTTGTTCTGATCTCTACTAAATCAGAACATTTAAAGTTTGCACTTTCATTTATTTATTTTCTTACTAAATATTAAAATGTTTCCAATTTAGTGTTAATCTATTTTTGTCACATCATTAATATTTGTAATTCTCCTTCCATTAAACTGTTGCTGCTCCAAAACTGACCAGATCAAAATAATGAATCAGCAAATAAAGTAAATGTTAACAAATTAGATTCATTGCATAAATCATTTATGTAAAGTAATTAAGTTTAGGATCCAGTTCTGACCCTTGTGGTTTTCCACAGGTAACTTCTAGTAAATTATAATTCATATTATTTGTACATTTTGATGTTTTGAGTAACTTTTACCCAGGAATGTGAAATGAATCATGATTCAGAAATAAGAGAATAATTATATAAATATATATTGGAGACAGTTTATATGAGCTATAGTAATAATCTGTATTATAATAATGTTATTTCAGCTGCAGTAGTTTGGTGATATCAGGAACTACTGATTATTGTTTCTGATTATTTTCAGTTTGTATTTATAGTCAGTTCAGTTACTGCTGCAGGAATCAGCTGTTATTTTCCTCTGGACTTTTTTCTCCTCATGATTCCATCATGAAACATTTTCATCAGAACTTCTCTTTTCCTCATGAAGGTTTTATCAACATGTCTCTAATTTCACTGCAGATTTTCTGCTGCTCTGAAAGAAGAAACTAAAAATCATGTGAGTTGTGATGTCATCAGTCCCACCACATCCCTCACATTTACTTTCAGTTTGAGAGTCAGACTGTTGTTCATATATTCTTCATCAACTCTTTGGATCATTTGATCAAACTGTAAGTTTTCTTGTATTTCTAATTGAACTTGATTTTCTTGTTTGTTTTTTTTCTCTCATGTTTTTAGAAAACATCCACTTCTGATTTCTGGTCAAAGTTTCATCTCTCTTCCTTTTAAAGTTTCATCTTCAGGATTATTAGATTAGTGATGAACAGCTGATGTTTCTTTGGTTTTCTCTGAACAAATTATTTCATGTTTCTATTTCCTGGATTCAAACTTGAGTTGTTTCCCAAAAAAAGATAGAAGATTAAACCAGGATTTATCAGATATCCTGACTTAATTACACCTTGATTTGGTTTCTCAAAAGCAATAACACATATGTTACATTTATCCAATTATCCACATATGTGACAATTTATCCTCTGCCAATAACCTGGCAGAGGATAAATTGCTGTTCTTAGTTCAGCCTGGTTCCCCAAACCCATCAGAAACCAAAGTGTTTATCAGTGATTCACCATCTTGTCTGCATGTTTTGGTCTTTTTTCCCTTCCTGAAATAAAATGCTGCAAATTCATGTTGATATTCAGTCATGTACTATTATTATTTTTAACATTATGATGGTAGAAAATACTATTATCAAGCTTAAAAAGATTTATGTCACAGTTTGTTTCTGAAGACTGATGTTCTAACTTTGTCTAATTACACAGTGAGGTTGTAAAAAACCTCTAGATATGAAAAGCAACATGTTGACAATATAAAAAACAGGACATGTTGTATGAGAGGGAGAAATGTCGGAGAAATGAGGTGAGCAACAAAGCAACCTGGTTTATTGCAGCAACCTGGTGCATTGCAGCAACCTGGTGCATTGCAGCAACCTGGTGCGTTGCAGCAACCTGGGTTGCTCTGGGGGATGAGGGAGGGGAACGGCAACCAGCATCTCAGTGGGGAGCCAGACTCAGATGACAATAATTGTTCTCACTATTACACCTCAATGCCAACTCCAGACAGACAAACTTATGATCGGTTCTGCTGATCTTGCAAATTCTCAGAGGTTTATTCCTGAGGTTTCAGGAACTGCAACTGAACTGTTCTCTCATTAGGAACCAGTTCTTGTTTGTGGTTCTGCTACACAGCATCTGAGTCTGAATGTTCACAGCAAGGCATTTTCTTGTATAAGACAGGCAGCCTCTCAATGGGCAGAACAGCTGCCAATGTTTTCTGAATTGTATGATATACCAGATAACTGACAAGCCCAAAAAGCAGAAATCCTGTTATCATACATTTAATTATATAACATCTTAAAATCCTCAACCAACAATATGGACAGATGGAGGGTCTTCCACTTCGCCCAGGGATTCATTATGTATAAATATCCTGTTGGGTAAAAAAGGCTCTTCTTTGCAAATTCTCCTCATCAAACCCAGATCCATTGTTTACAATTTGGAAGATATGAAAGAGAGGATCCAAAAGTGATATTAGAAAACACAGAGCAAAACGCACAGCAGACGAGGAAGATAATAGGAGAATAAAAGCATAAAATATTGACTTTCACTACTGATTTATAAATTTAAAGTTGTTAAATTGAGCAAATGGCTGATTATGATGATTTTTAATAGGAAATTGTTTGAAAATGTACATTTGAGCAAATTATGCCTTCAATCATTCAATCCACTATTGGTTACTATTGTACCAGCAGTATTTTTGCCTTGAGTTTGATGTTCTTCAATTCCTCATAATCTTCCATCAAAACATTTGTTGGTGTGCGGTTTGGTGAATGGAAATTATCTATTATAGCATCAGTGAGCCTGTGAGCGAACCCATGGTTTCTTTAAGACATTTGTTAACATATAGTCATCTGATTATTTAGGCCGGGCTCAAACTAAGTGAGTCACACCTCCTTAGTTTGGTTTGTTTTTGTGAAATGGATAAAAAACTAGAATGAACTGATGGTGTTGTGTCAAGCTTGGCTTTATCTCTCATCCTGGATTTCTGAATCAGACTTTTGTAAAAGAGCTCTCCACCATTAAATTCATATGCAACAGTTTCCTGCTGCTTCCTTTCAATATAAAATATTAAAATGTGTTTGATTCAGTCAGAATATTAACTTTTTAATCCAACTCCTTCACTGGATTGGCAGTTTTGTGCGGGCCTGAATCATTGCCAACAAAAACACACAAAATATGCGTCCAGTTTTTCATTTTTCCTTGCTCTCTATTTTTCCTTTTTATCCAAATTCCTCTAAATCCCATCAGACGTGATAAAGGCTTGAATATGTCTCTATGGACTGATAGTAGAAGTGCAGCAGCTGATGGCAGCTTCCTCTGCCTCTCTGCTGTCTGACTGCATTCACCTGACACTAATATGAAGCAGAGAAGAAGAGCCAATCAGAGGAGGAGCAGCTGATCTTTTTCCAGCATGAATGATGTAAAGGATGATCAGAGTTGATGTGCAGATGAATGATGTGTGTTTCCTCTGCAGGTGAAGCTAGAAAGTGTGTGTGAGCTGATGTGGATTCAGCAGCATGGATCAGTGTGAGGACAGAGAGGAGGGAGTCCCTCCCTCTAAAACCACTCTGTGTGGGGAAGATGAGAGCCAGAGCAAAGGTCAGAGGTGAGGTCACCATCTCTAACTGTCCACAGCCCTTTTCACACAGCGTTCACTATATCAGGCCAGAACAGACGTGGTGATGAAGCTGCTGCTCCTCTTTGCTGATTAAGTTTTAATCATCATGTTTCTGTCAGGATCCATCAGAAACGCAAACCAGAACCAGAACCAGAGCAAGAACCAGAACCAGAACCAGAGCCAGAACCAGAGCCAGAACCAGAGCCAGAACCAGAACCAGAACCAGAACCAGAACCAGAACCAGAACCCAGCTGTGTGTCCTTTAAGAGCAACAGGTCAAAGGAAATTTCTCCTGACTTTAAATCTCCTGGATCTCCACCATCAGAGAGGTGAGCTGTTTCTAACTGCTGTAACTTCTGTTTATATCTGTTATTGTGATGATAAGTTCTGTTGGGTTCTGTTGTCATAAAAACATCGGATAGAATTTCAGGTTATTTTTCTTTTTTTGTATTATGTTAAAGATGTAATACTTATGATGTCTCCATGAAACATGTTCCAATAATGAACATGTTACTATAAACACAATAAAGTTCAACTGGATCCTTTGTACAAAAATCAAACAGGTCTGTTTGGATCCACAGTCTCTACCCAGAGCTTCACTAGTTAACAGAATCTCAAAATCTGATCTGATGTTTACCTGACATGAATTTAACCATCATTCATTGGACAGTTATTGACTCCATACAGAAAGAATCTTATAAATCCTCAGTCAGGACTCACTCTTATAAACTATTATGTTGACATGACATTTGGACCAGAAACATTTAACTCTGTTTTATTCTGTTTTGTTTTAGCCTAATTTTTCCAAATGAAACATTAATTTATTTAGTCTGATATTAATATTAACACAAGAACAAATAGACAGAAGTGAATTTTATTTCTAGGTTGATATTTTCATCTTTCTCTAAAATCTGACAAAAAACAGATTCATTCTGAAATAAAACATTTTCTATGAATTTTTATGATTCCACCTCTGAAGTTCAAACATCATCCAACATGGCAGATTATCAACCATTTCTACAGTTAAACTAAATATTTAGTGGATCTGGTTGAGCAGTGGGCTTCAGTGTCTCTAACGGACCATCTGGTTCTGATTGAAGCTCCATCAGATCCTCCTTGGATGGTCAGAGTGGAAATGATTCCTGGTTCTGCTCCATGTCAGAGCCCAACACTAAGATCACCAAACTGTTCTCAGTCATTTCAAACCAACATGTTGGTCTCAGAAACAAATCTTTCTGCTCTTTAAAGAAGGCTGGACATTATTCAGGAGGATCAATGATCAGGAACATGTTGGAGGATTGGACCGGTTCTGATAGGAATCATTTAGAACATCAGGTTGATGATCGGACTGGTTCTGTTTTTGGTTTACAACTTTTTATTTTACAGTCACAGAAAAGATTATCTTGAAAGCAAACAGATAGTTTCTAATGAGAGGTTTTTTTTTCAGGATCCATAAGAGATTCAAACCCGATCCAGAACCAGAACCCAGCTTTGTCTCCTTTAAGAGTGACTGGTCAAAGAATCTTCCCATTAACTTCAAATTTCCTGGATCTCCATCATCAGAGAGGTGAGCTGAATCTAGTTGCTGTAACTCTGGAAACTGAACCAGTAAGAACTCAGATGTTTCCAGTTATATTTCCAGAGGTTTGATCCATTATCTACAGAAATCAGCTGATCTGTTCTCATGAAAACACCTTCATATCTTTATCTCTGGATGTTGATGATGATGTTCTGTTGCTTCCTGGCTCCATGTCAGACTAACAGTGGATCACATTTCCACTGGGAAATACCTGGTAAAGCCATTCTGGTCCATCAGGACTTGGTTCCTGTGTGCATTGTGAGAGCAGTTCAGCAGGGAAGGAAAGCTTCATGATGTGGTTGGTGAGATCTGCTGGAACTCAACCAAACTGAGCTGATGTGGACCATCAGAGGTTCTGCTGGTTCTTAATGGGATCAGCAGGAACATTAAATCTTTACAACTACTTAGATCACCTGGTTCACTGCTCACCAGATATCACTTCATGGACCTTTACCTTCTGATTGTCTCTGTGACAGATACAATGTGAGCTCACTGGCTTCCAGGATCTACAGGATCCATTTTAAATCCTCTATAACATCCAGGAGAGATCCCACATGGACACACCCACATATTTCAGACCTCCTCCATGTCCACATCACCTCATATCTAGTCATCAGAACCTGATGGATGTCCCACACTGTCCTGAAGACCTGTGTGGACAGAGCCTTCACTTCCACTGTCCCCAAGCTCTGGGAAACTGTCTCCACCAGCATCAGATCTGCTGACAGTTTGGGCTGTTTAAAGTCCAAGTTCAAAATCAACTTTTTCAAATGTGTATTGGTTCAATCTGGTGTTAATGTTTTTCGTCTTTGTAGTTCATCTTTTTTCTCTTTCTAATGTCTTTGTATTGTGTTCATGTGATGGCCTATTTTTCTGCTTTTAGAGTTTTTATTGTGAAACATTTGATAATTTCCTCTGTGAATTCTGCTGGATGAATAGTTTGTAACTTCCTCATTGTTCCTGGTTCTTCCACAGAGTGGACCAGCAGAGCTCAGACGTTCCAGGGGTCCATCTGCCCAGCAGCATCAAACACAGTTGGACTCCATATTTATGGTCTGTATTTGAACAACAACTACTTTTCCAAGAGTTCTGTTCAGCTACCTTCATGCTGCACTTTGTAGAGAGGATTGTCAATCTGTCCAACCTCCATCTGGTGTTTGGCTCCATGATTTCACTCTGACCACTTTCTTATCTATTATTCTGTTCCAGCTGCTAGAGGACAACATTGTCACTTTTGTGAAGAAAGAACTGAAGAAGATCCAGAAAGTTCTGAGTCCAGATTACCCAGAACATTCAGAGAGTCAGAGAGATGATGAGGTGTTGGAAGGTGATGATGAAGAGCAGAGGAGGAGCAGCAGAGAGGCAGTGATGAAGATCACACTGAACTTCCTGAGGAGGATGAAGCAGGAAAGCTGGCTGACCGTCTGGAGAACAGTAAGAGGATTTCTATGAAGATTTGACCTGATGAATAAATCGCACATTTACTGATGTTTGAAGAGATGGAATAATGTTTATCAACATCATCTTCAGAAAATAATATCTTTTGGTTACTGATTTTACTTTTTGTGTTATTAGAACAAATTTTTTCAGTTGTCAACATCAACTTAAATCTGGTCTGAAGAAGAAGTTCCAGTCTGTGTTTGAGGGAATTGCTAAAGCAGGAAGTCCAACCCTTCTGAACCAGATCTACACAGAGCTCTACATCACAGGGAGGGACTGGAGAGGTCAATGATGAACATGAGGTCAGACAGATTGAAACAGCATCCAGGAAACCACACAGACCAGAAACAACAGTCAGACAAGAAGACATCTTTAAAGTCCCACCTGGAAGAGATCAACCAATCAGAAGAGTGATGACAAAGGGAGTGGCTGGCATTGGGAAAACAGTCCTAACACAGAAGTTCACTCTGGACTGGGCTGAAGACAAAGCCCACCAAACATCCAGTTCATATTTCCATTCACCTTCAGAGAGCTGAATGTGCTGAAAGAGAAAAGGTTCAGCTTGGTGGAACTTGTTCATCATTTCTTTAGTGAAACCAAAGAAATCTGCAGCTTTGAACACTTCCAGGTTCTGTTCATCTTTGATGGCTTGGATGAGAGTCGACTTCCACTGGACTTCCACAACAAGGAGATCCTGACTGATGCTACAGAGTCCACCTCAGTGGATGTTCTGCTGACAAACCTCATCAGGGGGAAACTGCTTCCTCTGCTCTCCTCTGGATAACCACACGACCTGCAGCAGCCAATCAGATCCCTCCTCAGTGTGTTGGCATGGTGACAGAGGTCAGAGGGTTCAATGACCCACAGAAGGAGGAGTACTTCAGGAAGAGATTCAGAGATGAGAACAGGCCAGCATGATCATCTCCCACATGAAGACATCACGAAGCCTCCACATCATGTGCCACATCCCAGTCTTCTGCTGGATCACTGCTACAGTTCTGGAGGATGTGTTGGAGGGCAGAGAGGAGGAGAGCTGCCCAGAACCCTGACTGACATGTACATCCACTTCCTGGTGGTTCAGACCAAAGTGAAGAAGGTCAAGTATGATGGAGGAACTGAAACAGATCCACACTGGAGTCCAGAGAGCAGGAAGATGATTGAGTCTCTGGAAAACTGGCTTTTGATCAGCTGCAGAAAGGAAACATGATCTTCTATGAATCAGACCTGACAGAGTGTGGCATCGATATCAGAGCAGCCTCAGTGTACTCAGGAGTTTCACACAGATCTTTAAAGAGGAGAGAGGTCTGTACCAGGACAAGGTGTTCTGCTTCGTCCATCTGAGTGTTCAGGAGTTTCTGGCTGCTCTTCATGTTCATCTGACCTTCATCAACTCTGGTGTCAACCTGATGGAAGAAAATCAACCATCATTTTTATCTAAATTTTTTCCAAACCAAATATAAACTCTCTCCATCAGAGAGCTGTTGACCAGGCCTTACAGAGTCCAAATGGACACCTGGACTTGTTCCTCCGCTTCCTCCTAGGACTTTCACTGCGGACCAATCAGAGACTCCTACAAGGTCTGCTGACACAGACAGAAAGTAGCTCACAGACCAATCAGGAAACAGTTCAGTTCATCAAGGAGAAGATCAATGAGAATGTGTCTGCAGAGAAAAGCATCAATCTGTTCCACTGTCTGAATGAACTGAATGATCGTTCTCTAGTGGAGGAGATCCAACAGTCTCTGAGTTCAGGAAGTCTCTCCACAGATAAACTGTCTCCTGCTCAGTGGTCAGCTCTGATCTTCATCTTAGTGTCATCAGGAAAAGATCTGGATGTGTTTGACCTGAAGAAATACTCTGCTTCAGAGGAGGTTCTTCTGAGGCTGCTGCCAGTGGTTAAAGCCTCCAAGAAGCTCTGTAAGGACACAGATTGTTACTGCATTTGTTTTTGATAAAAATCTGTCAATGATGAGATAAATATTGAGTCATGCTTTATCAGTTTGTTTATTCCGCAATGTTCGCTGCTAGCAGATGATGAGTAAAAGAGAGACCAGCTCTCATAGGTGACAATTCATAATGCTACATGTTCAAGCAACAGAAATAAATTTTCCTATTGAAGCCGACACTGGATTAATGCAGTTCATTGCAGAAATGAATGTTTCTCTTGCCAGCCTCTGATGGCTGCTGTACTGCAGTCTTTTAAGACTGGAGGCCCAAATATAGAATAAACCATTTCATAGTACATGTATCTTAATGATGTGGAAAATATGATATTTTTTTAATCTGTTCAAAAGTAATATTGATATAATTTGTTCTGGGGACAAAAATCATACATTTTAAGAATCATTAAATATTTTCCTCCCTGTCTCCTCAGACTGAGTGGCTGTAACCTCTCAGAGAGAAGCTGTGAAGCTCTGTCCTCAGTTCTCAGCTCCCAGTCCTCCAGTCTCAGAGAACTGGACCTGAGTAACAACAACCTGCAGGATTCAGGAGTGAAGCTTCTCTCTGCTGGACTGAAGAGTCCAAACTGCAACCTGGAAACTCTCAGGTAAAATGTTCTCAATCCTGGTGAAACCAGATTTCTGTTTATTACCTGCTTTTAAAATTGATGTAATTATATGTTATAAAAATAGATGTCTGACTGTTGCATGGTTGACCAGGTTAAATCTCAACACATATTAATTGATAATTTTCATTTACTCCAGGCTGAAAGAACCAAAAAGAGATTTATTAAGAAAAGTGGAGGTCAGGCTTTGACTGATAGTGTAAATCTGCATATTTGACAAATTGCTGCATCCTAGTTGAACAGAGGAGCATCAATGCAGATCTTTACAACCAGCAGTTGTTAGACTTTCTCAACCATCATGAGGGAAATGTTGGTTTTCATTACCTACAAAAGAATGTACAGTTTTATTATTTCATATTATTAATAGGTTAAGCAGTAGTTTCTTGAGTATCTTCCTGTTGTGAACATTTCCATTTCAGACCTTGGGTTCTACCTCAATGTTCTCATTTTCTCATCATGTGATGAATTGTGTGTCTGCAGCTTATCAGGCTGTTTGGTCTCAGAGGAAGGCTGTGCTTCTCTGGCCTCAGCTCTGACCTCCAACCCCTCCCATCTGAAAGAGTTGGACCTGAGCTACAATCATCCAGGAGACTCAGGAGTGAAGCTGCTGTCGGCTGGACTGAAGGATCCACACTGGAGACTGGAAGCTCTCAGGTATGGAGGAACCTGCTGCAGGAGCAGAGAGGTCTGATAGAGGAGGAAGAGGGAGAAATGTCTTTAGTCAGTCTGCTAGCAAACATTTAGTTTGCTTATTAAATATTTAGTATACAGTCATGTCATTTATAAATGAATGGATAACATTTTGAACCCATTTTGTCTCTTATTACAGTTTAATAACTCAAATTATCTCTGGTCATTTTGGTTGTGTAACTTTTCGAATAGCAGCCCATTTAAACTATAAGAATCTTCCACATGGTTCTGAATGAACCTGGGAAACCAACCCATCTACTGAACCACGATAACATGGTATTCAGAGCAGCAGGGGGC